CCCCCCCCCCCCCCCCCTCTCCCCCCAGGTCAAGAGGCCACCCCAATGGGCGACCAAACTAGCCCAGGCAGACATAGACATCCGTTCCATCAATGTTACTGGGCTTGTTCAAGCATCAGCAGACAAAAAAGAAGCGAGCATGAACATGATCAAATGCCCAGCCATGGGGACATGGCCAGATGCAATGTGTGTACAAGAGATGCACCTGCAGGACACCCCCTCACACAACGCAAAAGAAAGAAGTCTATATGGCCTTACACATCCTACTCGGCACCAGCCAGAGACAGGGCGTCTGCAGGGGTAGCAATCTGGTTTCCCCCCTCATCGAAACTGAAGCCCATTAGCACGGACAGAGATGACCATCAGGGGAGGTGGATAAGCCTCAAAGTGGCTTTTGAAGAAGAAGAATTTTATCTGACCAACATCTATGCTCCAAATGATCCCACCAGTAGGGTAGAATTTTGGGCATCTCTTCAACACTACCTGCCAGCTAATGCCCCACAAATTCTAGTAGGGGACTTTAACACCACCCTTGACCCAGCCATGGACTGCAGGCCCCCCTCTCAGGTGCGCGCCCATGAAGCACCACATCAGACCGGAACGGGACTGGATGTGCTTATGCTCAAACAATTTATGGCGGATCGAGAACTGGAGGATATGTACAGATTGCTGCACCCCTCCCAACGTGCCTACACATGTCTGTCATCAAGAGGCGGACGAGGTTTGTCCAATTCAAGAACAGATCTTACACTGGTATCAAAGGATCTTATTGGCTTAGTTACAACGTCAGAAATAACAACTATTAGCCCGTGCAAGTCTTTCGATCACCGTATGAACACACTAGGCCTGTCCTAGCATAATCATATCCAGAGGGGGCCTGGGTTTTTCAAACTTAACACATCCCTACTACCCCTGACAAGATACAAAGACACCATAACTGCGTTCTGGGAATACTGGCAAATCCAGAAACCGATATCAGGGGATAGAGTGAAATGGTTCAATGTGGGGGTGGCACAGATGAGAGAAAGATCCAAAAAGTACGCTATTCAACATGCGAGGGACCATAAGGCTTTGCTTGAAAACTGATGAAGGACCTCGAAGAGTGGGATGAGCAACTTATGGACGGCCTACTGCATTGCCCCACATTTGACAAACTGCAAGAAGCCAGAGACCACCTCCAAACCTATATTGAACAACGAACACAGGCATGGAGGTTACAAGCCAAGATAAAACGAAAGCATACGGATGGCACAATGATAAAGACCTTTTTCAACAAAGCCAAAGCCAGAGCAAGAGCCAACATTGTCCCCAAACTTAGCCACCCATTGGATGGCACAGCCCAGCCAGGATGCAATGCTTACTCCATAACCGACTATGCTGCCCAGTATTACCGAAACCTGTTCACCTTTCAAACACCAACCAAACCCTCAAAATATGTTTGTCGGGCAAGAAAAGAGTAGTTGACAGCAATCCAGGCACATCTCACGGACACACAAAAGAACGATCTGGACAGCCCCCTTACCCAGCAAGAGGTCTGGGAGGCGTTACAGGACATGGAGGAGGAGAAAACCCTGGGCATCGACTCTTTCCCAAAAGAGTTCTGGATACAATTTTGGGACCTCCTTAAGGACGACCTAATGGAATATATTTTGGCCGTCCAGAAAGAGGGCACTTTTGGGGGCATGATTGGACCAGGGGTGACCTCAGTTCTATATATAAAAGGAGACAAGGAGGACATCAACAATTATAGACCCATAACCCTCCTCACAATACCATATAAAATGGTGGCGAAGGCTTGTTAAGGATGACCTTTGGTCCGGCCTTCTGTCACTGGGTACAAATTCTCCACGGGACGGCCACAACTATTATTATGCTTAACGGCCACCTGTCACCACCATATACCTTCAAAGATCAATACGACAGGGGAACCCTATCACACCCTCGTTGTGTTGTGATTGTGATGGAAGCGTTGACCTCGATCATAAGAGTTCATCCCAAGATCAGTAAAGTGCCCATCTCTTAAATCCCAGACCACCTGATCCCGGTAACGTCACTGTTCGCAGACGATCTCACGTTCCTCATCAAAGCAGATGAAGGCAGTGTGCGTGCTCTTTCACAGGTTATACACCTCTTTTCGCTCGCAGCAGACATGAAAGTTAACGGGGGGTCAAAAACAGAAGGTTGGTGGCTTCACCCTCAAGGGGATTCCCAGCCACAAGACCCAGCAGTGGCCTGGGCACGTAAGGAAGACGCCATCAGGATCTTGGGGGTGAGGATATCTGCACTCGGTCCTCCTCCGGATCATGGTGACAAACTAGTCAATATAGCAATTGACAGACTGGCTAAATGGGGGGGGCTACATACCTCACTAGTGGGAAGGGTCTTTGCAATAAACAATGCTATCCTGACAGCTATTTGGTACAAACTAGCAGTCTGGCCACTCAAGAAGCATCAATTCGCCAGACTAAGGAAAACATTAATAATGTACCTCTGGAAAAACAGTGCAAAAACTGAGAGTTGCATGCCAAGGGTGAGTTAGGATGTCCTTGTGCAACCAAGAAATAAGGGAGGCCTAGGGATTTTGGATCTGGAAAGAGAAAGTGAAGCACTGATCTTTAAAGTTGTGGTCAGGCTGTTAATAGGAAACAACATTCCCTGGGGTCAATTGACTTGCCTACAGATTGTCGCTCTGGCGTCGGAATCGTTGACGATCAATAGACTTCAATCCTTCCAATGGCTAACTAACGGAGAATGAACACTACCCTCCCCCCCACAACATAGGTAGGCAAGCAACCCGCGCCAAACAGCAAGACTGGACGTCCTCCTGGACCCCCTGTGGCCATTCATGCTTAAGCTTTGGAGGAAGCGAGGACCGCAACAAAAACAACCTCCAAACAAATGGTAAGATATCTGGAGGCAACCCCTGTTTGGTAATCCCCATGTCCTTGACGAGAATGGCAACCCCTTTAGCCCCCAAAACAACTCCCCATGGCTTAGTTGGGCAAAACGGGGCATATATATAGTAGGGGACTTGTGGACCCGCTCTCA